TTTTTTTTTATGAGTGTTTTGAGAATATGGTTAAAAGTTAGTTTTTTGACTTTTTTTACTGTTTCATGTGAGAGGTGATGTGATTTAAAATGGGTTAAAAAATTGACTTTTGACTTTTTTTGAATAAGAGTTAAATAGACATTTAAAAAATTAATTTATTACATTAATTTTTTTCATTAGTTGGCTTAACGATTTACTAATGGAATGATTAAATTGTAACAAAAGTTTAAACTTAAGGGTGGAGAATTTAATTTTTAGAGCATGAAAGGGTGTCTTGTATTAAAAATAAACCTCAAGAGAGTCAGTGTAATTTACACTTTAAAAAAAAAAAAGAGCTAATTATCCTAACAGTTTGATCATGACTTTTTAATTATAATACATTTGATCATGAATTTTAAATTTTTTTTCAAATAAAGATAATTGAAGATACTATTGCTTAATTTCAAGGGCAAATTCGTCAATTTGATAAAATATAAACTAATTTAATAAAAATAAATATCAATTTTTTTTAAATATTTAAAAATTATTTCTACCACTAGAAATAAAATTATATAAAATTAATAAATCTTTTACATATTTATTTTTTATCAAATTAGTTTTTATTATGTGCGTACATAATAATCATATAATAAATAAATGTTTGATATATTTAATATAATTTGAAATTAATAATTTGTTTAAAAAAAAAAAAAACCTTTAAAAAGTGAAACCACAAATATAAATAATATTGTAAAAGGAAAAAATCCACACGGGGCAAATGCAGCACAGGGGCGGAAGAAGGAAAAATTATTTGGTGTTCCCGAGGCACCAATAGCGGTACTCTTTCACCAATCACAATATTCGTGGATCCGGCCACCTCCACCAATGAAAACACTGTTGGGCAAAGGTGCCCAGGACCAACCAATAACTTCTCGGGCAGAAGGTTGTGAGAGGAGACTCGTAACTGACGAGTCGCAATGCCGTCCTAGATTTTGTCGAGTCTCTTCAAAACCGAGCATCCTTTTGCCTTTCTTTCTCAATCTCTTATGCATATAATAATCACCCTCTTTATACCCACACCCACCATTTTCACTTCCAACACCACTCCCACAAACAAAACAACATGTAAGTGTATCCTGTTTTCTTCTTCTTCTTTCAGTGGAATGGTTGTGCTGTGAATGATGTTTTGAATATTGTCATTTTTACTTGTTTTCTCTATTCTGTTTGGTCTGCTGGGTTTGATATATCATTAGGGATGGTGGTGGTTTGAAGCCAATGGATGCAGAACAACTGAGAGAGAATGCTCACAAAATGGTAGATTTCATTGCTGATTATTACAAGAACATTGAGAATTTCCCAGTTCTCAGCCAAGTTCAGGTTTCCATAATCTTCAATTATTTATTTGTTTGTTTCTTTGTTCTGTCTATTAACTTATTTTTATGTATTTTGATTAATTAATTTTGTGGGTACATCTGTTTCTGCAAGAAAATCAATCAAAGCCTATTCTTAGTTGCAATCATGAACTATTTTTCTGTGGGTTCTTTGTTTCAATCTTTGCATTGTTATTTTTTTTAGAAATTTCTAGTGCTCGAGGATTTTAACAATGTTAATTAGTCTAGAATTTTTTGTTTTTGTTTTTGTTTTGTGCAAGTAGATTTCATGTTAATCTTTCAGTGGTTTTACTTAATAGTAGTTAAGAAATGAAGCATACTGTATAAAAAAGATGATTCTTGCTCTTTATATCAAAACTGTAAATTTGGGGATTGTAGATGATTCGTGTATGTGTTTTTTTAAAGTAATCGTCCAATTCGTAATTTGGGAATTTATTGATATTATTATTCTTTGATTTTTGGGTATGAAAGAGGAAAGAATTTAATAGTTATCACGTGTGCTTTAGTTATGATGTTTGTGCTATCAGTCCCATTTCATTCATGGATACAAAAAAAAAAAAAAAAAAAATTGAACTTTTCTGCAGCCCGGGTATCTGAGTAAACTTCTTCCGGATTCCGCACCAAATCAACCAGAATCATTGCAAGATGTTCTCAGTGGTGAAGTTTCTTAATCCTGTGCATACTTTTAAACTATTTCATCAAGAGGCCTAAAAATTAAACAGAAAAATGTTTAGTTGCATACACCATATCAATGTATATACCAACCAACCAAACTAAGTAATGTGTCCCACTCAAATGGGGTTGGCAACATGAATCATTTCTTCGCTATTTTGCTCTTACCATATCAATCTATATTTGTATTTTAATTGTGGGTGCAGATGTCCAGTCAAAGATTTTACCAGGGGTAACCCATTGGCAAAGCCCGGATTATTTTGCATATTTTCCCTCTAATAGTAGTATCACTGGATTTTTAGGAGAAATGCTCAGTGTTGGTATTAACATGGTGGGTTTTAGTTGGATAACTTCTCCTGCAGCAACAGAACTTGAAATGATTGTCCTGGATTGGCTTGCTAAACTTCTTAAGCTTCCTGATGATTTCCTTTCAACAGGTATAGTTTGCTATGTCTATATTTATTAGCATTTGATTCTTGTAGTAACTTGGAAGGTACAACTTTTTCCCAGTTCAAAAATAAACATTCTTTTTTCTCAAGACAAAACAGACCTTTGCGTTTGCCTTTTTCATTTTGATGGTTGATGTCATTCAAGCTGAGGTGGTTAATAGATTTGTTAAAGAGAAGAAGAATAAAAAAAGATTTGGTGCTTTATTTTTTAGACATTATAAAATGGCAACTTAGCTTTATATGTTACTCTAGGCGGAGGCGGACTTGGTGAGCATTAATTAATCTGTTGGACCAGAATTCTGAATATAACTTACGGCTTTAACTAAGTTTGGTTGACGAGAAGTGAAAGGATATAAAGAGTGGGTGAATACCTAAGCAGAAAGGACAAAAAGAAGGAAGAAATAGGAAGTGGGTAGTCAATTGGGTAGATCTGTGTTCTTCCTTGGTTGTTGAGACCATACCAATCATTTAGAACTTCATGGAAAGGGCTTTTTCGGGCAAATGGTTATTTTGGTTCAATTATTATATTTTGTGGAATTTTAACAAGATCAATGAAAATGATGATTACGAGTGTGATATTGATTTTTTTTTAAGTATATTTGTTTTGTTCAATTTGTATATTTCATTATAGTGTTTGAAACTTGCAAAATTCAATGAAATAAATGAGAAAAACATACTATTTTTGGTCATTAATTTTTTTTAAAACAACAAATATATATATATATATATTTTTAATTTTAATAATGGGCAGGTTTTTGTATATTTGTTTTATTGAAATTCATTTATTTGGGTCAACTTTGCCTTTCCCTATCTATAAAAATTAGAATTAAAATTTTTTTGTTAAGTTTCTAATTTTTCTCTATACTTTTAGAATTTAGAATTATACTAAAAAAACACCGTGCCTTTAGGCACGGGCATACGCTAGTCATCATACATATATCTATTGAGTATATATGTTTTTATTTTATTTTATTTTTTGATGTATATAGATATAGGATTTTGGAGGGGATTTGAGAAAAAATTAGAGATGATTGGGGTTCAGAAGGAGTCTTAAAGGATGAAGAGGCTCTTTGTTTAGATGCAACACATTATGGAAATGTTGCAAGGTTTATTAATCATAGGTTGACAAGGATCAGAACACATTAATAATTAAGAGGAAGCCACAAGGGCATATGCGCTTCTGTGTTTTGTTGAACTTACCTATGATTAATAAACCTTGCAACATTTCCATAATGTGTTGCATCTAAACAAAGAGCCTCTTCATCCTTTAAGACTCCTTCTGAACCCCAATCATCTCTAATTTTTTCTCAAATCCCCTCCAAAATCCTATATCTATATACATCAAAAAATAAAATAAAATAAAAACATATATACTCAATAGATATATGTATGATGACTAGCGTATGCCCGTGCCTAAAGGCACGGTGTTTTTTTAGTATAATTCTAAATTCTAAAATTATAGAGAAAAATTAGAAACTTAACAAAAAAATTTTAATTCTAATTTTTATAGATAGGGAAAGGCAAAAAAATTAATGACCAAAAATAGTATGTTTTTTTCATTTATTTCATTGAATTTCGCAAGTTTCAAACACTATAATGAAATATACAAATTGAACAAAACAAATATACTTAAAAAAAATCAATATCACACTCGTAATCATCATTTTCATTGATCTTGTTAAAATTCCACAAAATATAATAATTGAACCAAAATAACCATTTGCCCGAAAAAGCCCTTTCCATGAAGTTCTAAATGATTGGTATGGTCTCAACAACCAAGGAAGAACACAGATCTACCCAATTGACTACCCACTTCCTATTTCTTCCTTCTTTTTGTCCTTTCTGCTTAGGTATTCACCCACTCTTTATATCCTTTCACTTCTCGTCAACCAAACTTAGTTAAAGCCGTAAGTTATATTCAGAATTCTGGTCCAACAGATTAATTAATGCTCACCAAGTCCGCCTCCGCCTAGAGTAACATATAAAGCTAAGTTGCCATTTTATAATGTCTAAAAAATAAAGCACCAAATCTTTTTTTATTCTTCTTCTCTTTAACAAATCTATTAACCACCTCAGCTTGAATGACATCAACCATCAAAATGAAAAAGGCAAACGCAAAGGTCTGTTTTGTCTTGAGAAAAAAGAATGTTTATTTTTGAACTGGGAAAAAGTTGTACCTTCCAAGTTACTACAAGAATCAAATGCTAATAAATATAGACATAGCAAACTATACCTGTTGAAAGGAAATCATCAGGAAGCTTAAGAAGTTTAGCAAGCCAATCCAGGACAATCATTTCAAGTTCTGTTGCTGCAGGAGAAGTTATCCAACTAAAACCCACCATGTTAATACCAACACTGAGCATTTCTCCTAAAAATCCAGTGATACTACTATTAGAGGGAAAATATGCAAAATAATCCGGGTTTTGCCAATGGGTTACCCCTGGTAAGATCTTTGACTGGAAATCTGCACCCACAATTAAAATAGCGAAGAAAGGATTCATGTTCCCAACCCCATTTGAGTGGGACACATTACTTAGTTTGGTTGGTTGGTATATACATTGATATGGTGTATGCAACTAAACATTTTCCTGTTTAATTTTTAGGCCTCTTGATGAAATAGTTTAAAAGTATGCACAGGATTAAGAAACTTCACCACTGAGAACATCTTGCAATGATTCTGGTTGATTTGGTGCGGAATCCGGAAGAAGTTTACTCAGATACCCGGGCTGCAGAAAAGTTCAATTTTTTTTTTTTGTATCCATGAATGAAATGGGACTGATAGCACAAACATCATAACTAAAGCACACGTGATAACTATTAAATTCTTTCCTCTTTCATACCCAAAAATCAAAGAATAATAATATCAATAAATTCCCAAATAACGAATTGGACCATTACTTTAAAAAAACACATACATGAATCATCTACAATCCCCAAATTTACAGTTTTGATATAAAGAGCAAGAATCATCTTTTTTTTATACAGTATGCTTCATTTCTTAACTACCATTAAGTAAAACCACTGAAAGATTAACATGAAATCTACTTGCACAAAACAAAAACAAAAAATTCTAGACTAATTAACATTGTTAAAATCCTGAAAATTGAACCACACATAATCAAACATAACTGTTAAAAAAACAGAAACATTACCCAAGTTGGAGGTATCATTCACAAAACCTCCAAAACCGTGAATAGAGAGAGAATAGGAATAGAGACAGAAACATTACCTTGCCCAGATAGAAGCCTCAGGTTTGGTGTAGCTTTGAAGTAGCTCTACCGAAGAGCTCCAATCGGGGTTCGGTCGAAGAGGTCTCTGATCTCGGCTGGCGCTTCGGCTACTGTCGGCTGGCCCTCGTCTGCCGCCGCTCGCCATCGATCTCTCGAGAGAGAGATAGAGAGAGAGAGAGGGGGGAAGAAGAGATAGGGATTTGCTTTGAAGTAGCTCTACCGGAGAGCTCCAATCGGGGTTCGGTCGAAGAGGTCTCTGATCTCGGCTGGCGCTTCGGCTACTGTCGGCTGGCCCTCGTCTGCCGCCGCTCGCCATCGATCTCTCGAGAGAGAGATAGAGAGAGAGAGGGGGGAAGAAGAGATAGGGATTTTTTGGGTTTGAGATTTAGGGATTTCTTTTTTTTGGGGAGGGGGTGTGGAAGCGGGAATGGGAAAAAAATAAAGGGGGGAGCGGGAATGGAAATTAATTTAGGGGCGGGGATGAAAAATAAAAATAAAAATAAAAAAATAATTAAATAAATTTATTTTTTGTTAAAATATATATATATTTTTGTAGTTAATGAATTTTTTTTTAATTTTTTTTTTTTAGTTATTAAGATTGAAAATTTATTTGTTTCATTTTTATTTTAATGAAAAAAAATATTATTATTTTTTATTTTGTAGAAGTAGGGGTAATATATATTTTAATGAAAAATATTTTTCACTAAAATAAAAGTTAATTTTCTGTAGTCAATAAAAAATATTTTTCTGCGGCCTTTTTTTTTTATTACTAAATATCATGAACTAATTTTTTGTGGTAGAGGAAAATGAGCGGCAGCAGTAGTGAAGTTGGTGGATAAGAGATGATGGTGGTGGTGGTGGTGATGGTGATGGTGATGGCGAAAGAGATTAGTGGTGAAGCTGTGGTAGTGGTAGTGTAAATAGAGTGGCAGGGGTGAAAGAGAGGTAATGGTAGTAGTAGTAGCAGTAGTAGTAGTGGTGGTAGTGGAGTGGTGGCGATAGTAGTAGTAATGGTAGTCGTAGAGGTGAAGTGGCGACAGTAGAAGTAATAGTGGTGGTGGAATGGTGTTTGCAGTAGTAGCGAAGGTGGTAGAGGAGATGGGTGGTGAGAGAGAGTGATAGACAGAAAAGAAACATAGAGAGAAGAGAGCTGGACGAGAGAGACAGAGAGAGATAGAGAGAAGAGAGATGAGCAATAGAGACATAAAGAGAAGAGAGATGAACGAGAGAGACAGAGAGAAAGATAGAGAGAAGAGAGATGAGCGAGAGAGATAAAGAGAAGAGAGATGAGCGAAAGAGACAGAGATAGAAAAGATATGAAAGAATAGATAGATGAGTGAGAGACACAGAGAGACATAGAGATGAGGGAGAGAGTGAGCAATGTGAACATAATGAGGGAGAGAGATAAACAGATACATAGACACATAGAAAGAAAGAGAGAGAGAGAGAGAAGAGTGAGAGACAGATAAACAGACACACAGAGAGAAAGAAAGAGAGAAGAGTGATAAGTGAGAGAGAGATAAAGAGATAAAGAGATTTAGAGAGAGACAGAGGGAGAAAGAGATAGGGAGAGACATATAGAAAAATAGAGAGAAACAAGAGATGAGAGAGATATATAGAAAGAGAGCGAAAAGAGATGAACGAGAGAGAGAATAGAAAAATAGAGAGATAGAGAGAACATAGATGAGTGAGAGAGACAGAGAGAGAGAAAAGAGAGATGACCGAGAGAGACAGAGATAGAAAAGAGATGAGCGAGATAGAGAGAATAGAGATGAGCGAGAGAGACATAGAAAGAAGACAAATGAGAGAGATAGAGA